CACACACACACACACACACACACACACACACACACACACACACACCCAGCCCTGTGCTGAAATGGGTGGGACAGAAGAGGAAGGAGGTTCTTAAAGAGACAGAGGCCAATTTCAAGGCATTTAGAAACAGATATGATGAGAAGACAAGTTATTTTCTATTTAAACATTTAAACAGCATTTTAATAACAAGAAGGTGACAGTTACTTTATTAAATATATGCCTGAGAAACACATAATATTGCCCCTTTAAAGTTCAGATAAAGATGAATTTCAGGTTAAAATTTGGTTTTCAGTGTTCTGTCTTCATAAAGTACTGATTTTATGTTATGTTATTAATTCAAAGACTTTAGTAACATTCTCTTCGAATGGCTGGAAAATGCTGAGTTTTGATTAGATCAAAGTTTTCCAGGGCTGTATACCCCTGGACCCCCCCTAGAGCTGCTTCAGTCCACAGCTGCTGGTTAACATGAACAGGTGTTCCTCATTGCTGCTGGCAGGTATGAGGTGGACTTCTGGTGTTCTTTTTCAAACAAATTATATTGTTAGCTATTTTAATTGGCAACCTGGTCTCTAAATATAAGAAATATCAAAGACAAAACTATTTCATTTGGTGTGAATGTCCATAAATTCAGAGAAGTTTAGAAAATTACACAAGCAGCAACACCTGAAATCTTGGGTTGTGTTGTAACTTAATCGGTTTTACATAAATTGAGCCAAAGTTAGATTTTTTTTTGCAAAGACTCATCCTCAATGCACATTCTGGCATGAAACAAATGCAGTTTTAATAACAGGCACTACTCACTGTATTAATTGGCAACTTTCTGTTTAATAATAAGCTGTTAAACTATTCTCTGTAGATTGTGCCTTTGATAAATGTTGAGGAAGTAAAATCCTGTCGCTCGAGTCTGAGCTTCTGAAGTTCTTTGGCCCAGCTCTAACCGAGCAACACTGGTTTTACCTGTGTCGACGCTGCAGTTACACGTGGAGGACCACCGAGTGGAGCGACTGTCGGGTGGACCTGCTGCTGAGCCAGCAGGACCGGCGGCGCAGCAACGTGACGGGGCTTTGTGGAGGAGGTCTGCAGACGAGAGAAGTTTACTGTGTCCAGGCCAACGCCGAGCTCCTCAAATACCTCAACGACCTCAGAGAAAAAGAAAAAGGTAAAGTTGGTCTTCGGTTGAAACTCTGTTCTTTTAACTTGGAGCCAAATCTTTTTATGGTCAGCACTGAACTGCAGACAGTGGACCCTAAACAATTAGTGGATTATTTTTGCTTGAAAAATAAAAATGATCCTTTTAAAAAGTTCAGCATATTTTGGTGGTATATCAGTCAGCATATCAGGAAAGAAAAACTGTTTTCTTTTCAGAGGCTTTCAGACGTATCTTATGGCTCATTCTTATTCCATTTATTTATTTCTGCTCACTGTTGAGGGTTGGCGTTCAACAGCCAGCACAAACCATGAGCATGACTTTGAACCCGTGTGTGCAAATTGGAACAAAATAAAAAGGTGAAGACTTTGAACAACCTGTAATTCTTTACAGATACAGAAGTTTTGTTGTTGTTTTTTGTGTGTGAGTGACTGAATGTTATGTGACAGAGCTTTATGTGCTGATCGCGTATACATATATTTAAGTTTTATCTATTAGTATTAACAGCTTTTTTCTATATGCAGTGATTTTCTTTTCTTTTTTACTGGCAGCAACACCGATTTGAAATGTTTGATATATATTTAGAACACTTTTCTCACCTCATTTCACTTCCATGAGGAGAAGAATTTGCTTTCTACTCCGTTCATTGAAATTCAGGTGGTGTCAGCCTGCACCACCCTTGAAAAACACGACCTCAGATCTTCAGTATAACTCTAAAACTGGTCATGGTGAAAGGCAGTAAATTTAGGCTCGTGACAACAGCGGGGTCTTGCAGAGAATATATTGTCACGTATAAATTTCACTTATGTTCCAGCAGCTTGTCCCCTGCAGGGTTCATAATCACAGTCAAGTGTTGGATGGGTCTCGTAAGGCCTGCCAAGTTTAGGTTTTAAAAGCAGCACACACACACACAAAAAAATGATGTAAATTAAACTTTTAGCATATGTTGCTGCAACAAGAACTTATAAATAGTTTTGGTTCATCATCTTTGTTTCTGTCAAAATTTGCAATTTATTCTGAAAACCGCTTGAGTACATACAGGGGCGGAACTAGTTTATTTTGCAAGGGGGGACACAGGTCTTTGTTTGTTTGTTTGTTTTTTTGTTTGTTTGTTTGTTTGTTTAATTTAGTTTTGTTTTTTATTGGAGGGGCACATACAAATAAAGAATCATTCTGAATTTGAAATTTCAAGATGGCCGCCACAGATAATTCCAAATAGCTTTAATTCAGCTGTTTTAAGAAATATTGAGCTCATCAGTGAGTAAAACTCTCTTTTACTTTTAATAGTATTTCTGTTTTTTTATTTCACATTTAGTCAGTCGTACAGGTAGTTTCAGTGTTTATAAGAGGATGTGTTAAAATGCTGTTTCTATGCAGGAAATACCAGGTAGAGCTCAGTGTTTATTAGCAGTGCTCAGTCAAAGCAATGAGACAAGGACCATGTTTAGTTAACTATTAAACTTCAAAGTTATCTACAACTGGCCCTTTGAGGGCCACCATAACGCTCATGTGGCCCTCGGTGAAAATGAGTTTGACAAAATGAGTTTGACCCCCCCCCCCCCCCCCGGTGTAGAAGTAGCCGAAAACAATCTTTACCAAATTCTACGTACTAATCAAAAATTCAAGATGGCCACCACAGCTAACTTTAAAACACTATAATCCAGTCATTTTAAAACTTATTGAAGTTAAATTCGTTGTGGAGTAGCAAAAAATGATCACATGCTAACTGTCAATGCTAATCCCAAATTAAGCTAACCATTAATGCTAATTTTACAAAGAACTATAAGTCAGCCATTTTTAAACTTACACGTGAAAATTTATATAGTACAGTAGTATCGAAAAACTATTTTTAACAAAATCTAAATGCAAATATAAATTTCAAGAACCCCACCCACTTGTTAATTATTTGGGGGTTGCACATTAGCTGCCAATTGTAGCATTAGCCACCCCTCTGGCTCTGTCTTTGAATATATWGTCTAAAATTTTAGCTGTTGTAATTATGAAAGTTAGTTTATTTAAAATGAATATTTGGTTCTTTGTGTGTTGAAAGTGTAGCTAAAGCAGCAATTATTTATCTTCGTCGTGACCTTTACAAGAGCCCATGTCAGTTCTGAATCAGGCTGAACCTGGAGCTGGTCTGGGTCACCACAACACCTTGATTCTTTTATTTTGAGACGTTTTACTGTAGATTAGCTGCTGTGTTTGGGTTTACTGGTGTTGTGACCCAGTTTAATCTGAGCTTCAGCTGTTGGACAGATGGTCTCACGTTTGACTACAGAATACTTTGTCCTACAGAGGAGTTCATGATTGGCTCCATGACTGCAAGGAGCCCAAACCATCACCCCTCCACCGTCATGCCTGACAGCTGGTATGAGGTGTTTGTGCTGAAATGCAGGGTTAAACGGCTCCACGTCATTAAAAAGAGACAGCTGAGATATTCTGGGCTCATCCAGCTGGGAGGAAATCCCAAAGGGATGAAGGGATTTCACATCCTCTCTGGTCCGGGTTCCCCCAAGAGGAGCAGGAGAGCGTCGCTGAGGTTAGGGATGTCGGGGTTTCCTGCTTGGATCTGCTCCCTCCACAACCCAAACACTTATAAATGAAGGGAACTGGATGAATTCAATTTAAATTTAGTGTTTAAATAAATAAGGACAGCGTAATCTCTCGTGTTTTATTGTTCACTTTAGATTTTGTTTACATAAGCTGACGAGTCTGCAGGAACCAGACAGGTTTTTTATGTCTTTATGTAAAAGAGGCTGTAAATTATTGAGGCAAACGTCACTTGAAATCTTTGAGCAGAGTTTCAGAGCTGCGATAACTGACAGGAAGACATGAAGGATCTCATTCATCCTCAAGAAGTCACTGATTAATTAACACAGATGTTTTTTTATTTTGGCGTCTGTTTGCGAGCATCGCTCCTCCTCGATGATTATCTCCATAAATAAAATATTAAATAACTCCCGTTCTGTGAAGTGCTCTTCCAAAGTTGATTGGTTCTCAGGAGGTTTTTTMGGCTACATTTGATCTATTCTGCAAATAAAGTCAACATAACTGTCTGATCAGATATGAAATCATTTCATTTCACAAGTGTTGCTAAACTAAATTAGATCAGAGACTCTTACATGCTTCGATTCTCCACACGAGTGCAGAAACTAAAAAAAATTTGATTCGTAATTCCATTACAAACACTTGCATTTGTACAAGCTGTTAAATTCACTCAGTTCAGGTCCAAATTTATTTATATTTATCATAAAATAACTTTTCTGGATCATCTGCTTGGTTTCTATAGAGCTTCGACCAGCTGACGTCTCTCAGTTGAAACCAAACGATTGTTCAGAAGAGGGATTTGTCCGTTCGTGTCCTGCTGCGACTCGTCGGTCACCACAAGTGCAAAGGCCTCCATTTCTGACACTTGTCAAGCCAGCTTAGAGTCAAAGCTGCCTTCTTAAGAGGGTGTTGAAGACATTAGTTCGGGCTAAGCCCGTGGAGACCGCTCACATGGGTCACGTGAGGGAGTGACGAAGTTTAAAAGGAGGTGAGGTGTCCGMCACAAACGTGTTAAATGTTGGGAGGATTTCTCTCACGCAACCAGGAGGAACAAAACAGAACAGATACTCTAAATGATTTGTTTTCATTTGAGCTGGGCTGTTTGGAATCTTAGGCAGCAGTTTCATCATAAAAGCTGAGATTATCTAAAAACTGATTGTGGTGAGTTTTTGGCTGTAAAACTGCAGTCACTGTTTAAGTCATTTCTGCAGCGACTTCAGCTCCAAAGGGTGACGTCAGAATTTGTAATCCTGCTTTCAAATCCTTACTTGCCTTTGTTGTTGCTCCAGCACAGAGAACCAGACCAGTTCTATTTCAGTCTCACCTCTGAATAACTCCTGAAATTTAAACTACAGAAGTCAGGATGCAGATTAGACATCTAATAAAAGGACCACAGCAGCATTTTTAAAGATATGATCTGCAGGAGTCATGAATTAAAACATTTATTTATTTTTAGGGTTGTGTTCAGAAAGATGTTTTGTAGATGAAYCACTGATGGGTTAGAAAACATTTTATATCACACTTAATAAAAAATATGTACTACAATCTCGAGTATTTTCAATACTATATGAATGAATGTGTTCCTTTTCAGTCATTTCACTCAGTACAACACACAGTTGTATATGGGACTCGCACGCCTTTAGACCGGTGACGTGGTGACGTTGAATGTCGGGTGACAGGCTCCGCCTTCACCCTATAAGTTCAGAGTCACCAGCGTCATTACTCAGTTTTATCGCCCTTCACCTCGCGATAGTCACCTCTAAACCTGAGCTCACATAGCTGCTGCTAGTTAGCTCAGCTTCTAAGGTTCTTAGGTTAGCTTTACTAGTGCTAACCGCGTTACCTGCTGGTTCGTGTGTCTGCCGCTCGACGCTATTTAAGTGACCTTTATTTTCTGCTGAAAATCTGTTTTGTGGTTCACGATGAGCACAAAACCACCTTCGAAGAAGCCGAAGTCTTCTGTTTGCCCCTGCCCTCAGGGGTGTGGCTTTGAGCTTCATGAGAAGGACCAGCATGAGGCTTGCCCGGCCTGCCTAGGAATCATTCATGCTTGACAGGCGCTTGTGGAACCTGAGTCCCGCCAGGCCTGTGCCGGACTTTTGCATCCGACACTGGAGAGGAGAGTGAAATTCCTGGAGAAAATGCTGGGGGAAACTGCTGTTTTCCGAAAAGACCCACTGCTCTCCGAATCCAGCCAGACGGCTCAGTCCGATGAAGACGAGGATTTGGCGGTCGAAGCCCCCGCTGCTAGCTGGGCGGACCAGATGCAGCACGAGGCGGCCTCACCCGACATCGAGGGGGGCGAGACCCAGTTTCTACTGGATCTAAACCAAGAGGAGGACGATATTCTACAGATGGAGCAGGAGGTTCTCAGTCTGTCTGAAGACGACGAGGAGCCGTGCCCAGCTCACACCACCCCCGCTGCTGAGAGGGTGGACCAGGATTTGTCCTTCTTGTCCCTGTGC